GCAGGGGCAGCAGGAGGAAGAAGATCCATGAAGTCCGTATTCCGTGTTAAGTTCCGGGAGCTCGGAGTCACCCGGAAATGAACTTGGGGATCCCAGGCTGCTCAGAGCCTCCCTGTTGGTGGCCCTTTGTCATTCCCAGCCGCTTCCCTCTTTGCCCTCCTCTGCCTTAGCTCTCCTGTTAAATGGCAAGTCAGATAAGGGCCAGATCCTCCTCAGACCCTGCAGACCGCCTCTCCGGGGGCTCGGTGTGGATCTCGAGCCTGCAGGGCTGTTGTCAACTCGCCGACCGGAGTGGGGCCTCGTTTGATGTGGTCGCCTGCCCGCCCCTTGTTAGGTTCCTGGTTGCAGGAGTAGAAAGCCAGCCCCTGACTGAGGCAGGAACTGTTGCCCAGAGAGCCTGTCCTCGACCCCTACCCATAGGGTGCTAGAGAGGACCGAGGGTGATTGCAGAGGTCACTTAGGATGCTGTCACTGTGGCGTCACACCGTGTGTGGCTGTGCGGAGTGGTTGTGGCTGGTGGCCCGGACCAACCCCAGGCAGGAGGCGTGAGTTGCCCCTGCAGCTGCCATGTGCTCTGTGCCACTTGCTTCAAGTCCCCGTGGCCCCTTCCCACTGGGGGCCCTGCTGGCTCCTCCTTCCCTCCGCCTTCTGTGTGCCCTCTGCCACCACAGAGCTCAGCTTTCTGAAGTTGGACGGGTGGTGTCACTCTCCACTTCTCCTCGGTCCTTGCCGGCCTTGTTGCCGGGGTCACTCCAGGCCCAGTGACTGCCCCAGCTCCCTTCCGTGGCTTTGCTGGACAGTTGACCCTTGAACCTCACGGGCTTGAACTGCACGGGTCACTGATACGTGGATTTCCTTCCACCTGTGCCACCCGAGACAGCAGGACCAACCCCTCCTCTTCCTCCTCAGCCTGCTCAGCGTGAAGAGGAGGAGGACGAAGACGTTCGGGATGGTCCACTCCCACTTGGTGAATAGGGAGTATACTTTCTCTTCCTGACAATTTTGTTCATAACTTTTTCGGTAGTTTCCTTTTTTTGTGAGAATACAGTACATAATACAACATACGAAATACGTGTTTATCAACTATTGATGTTATCACTAATGCTCCCGACCAACAGGAGGCTATTAATAAAGTTTTGGGGGGTCAGAAGTTATGCGGGGGTTTTCACTCGTGTGGAGGGTTGGCACCCGTAACCCCCGCATTGTTCAAGGGTCAATTGTGCTCCCCTTTGTGCTCCCCAGTGTGACGGGCGGGAAAGGGTTTGCAGGCCGCCGGCTTGAGCTCCACTTTGTAACTGCGCCACGTGACTTGCTGTGTGAGCTTGGGTAACTGACTATCTCTTTGAGCTTGGTTCCTTGTTTTTCTTATGAAGGGAATGATTATACCGCCTCTGAGGTATTTGTTGAGGACCTGTGAAGAAACGTTGAAATTCTTACTACACAAGTTTTTAAACTTCATTAAATATTTTAATCTACTCTTTTTGGCAACAGCTTTACTGAGGTATAATTCGTTTACCATACAGTTCACCATTTTAATGTGTCCAGTTCCGTGGTTGTTCGTGTATTCACCAAGTGGTGCAGCCACCATCACAGTCAATTTTAGAACATTTTCATCACCCCAAAAGGAACCCCACACCCCTTAGTGGTCACTCCCCAAACCCCACATCGACCCCCAGCCCCTTTCCACCAGGAATCCATTTTCTGTCTCCACGGATTTGCCTGCTCTAGACATTTGGGATAAAATGAGTCATACGATGCGTGGCCTTTCGTGTCTGGCTGTTTTCAGGAGCAGGAGTCTTTTGAGATACGTCCACGTGGTAGTCGGTTGGTGCGTCCTTCCTCTGCCCGATTGCTAGACCTTTGTTTTGTTTTTGTCAGCTGATGGATATTAGGACCCTGACCTGGGCCACATGGTTAAATACTATTTAGCTTTTGGAGGAGTTGCTGGACTGTTTTGCAGAGTGGCTGCATTATTTTCAGGGCACAGGAGAGTTCCAGTTTGCCCACATTCTTGCCAACACTTGTTATTATCTGTCTTTTTGAGCACAGTTATTCTCTGATTAGGAAGTGGTATCACAGTGTGGATTTTGCTTGCTTTTCTGTGATTTACATTGAGCATCTTTTCCTGTGCTTATTGGCCATTTGTGTGTTCTCTTTGGAGAAATATCTGTTCAGATCCTTCGCCCATTTTTCAATGGGATTATCTTTTCCTTATTGAGTTGTAAAAGTTTTTTATATATTCTGAGAACAAGTTCCTTATCAGATAGATGATTTTTCAGGTATTTTCTCCTATTCTCTGAGTTGTCCTTTCACTATCTTGATAGCGTCCTTTGAAGCACAAAAGTTTTTAATTTTGGTGAAGTTGTTTATCCGTTTTTTTTGTTTGTTTGTTTTTGGTCACTTGTGATTTTGGTGTCTTATCTAAGAAACCATTGCCAAATCCAGGGTCACAATTTTTTCCCCCCACATTTGTAGATTCAATCAAAAGGTTGCAAATATTTATCCATATATTTTCTCCTAAAAGTTGTATGGTTTTAGCTCTTATATTTAAGGCATTTGATCCATTTTGAGCTAATTTTTGCATATGGTGTGAGATGGGGTCCAACTTCTTTCTTTTGCACGTGGATATTCCACTGTCCCAGTACCATTTGTTAAAGACTGTTCATTCCCCATGGAAGTGTTTTGATACCTTTGTTGAAATGCAGTTGACTGTGAATGTGTGCGTGTATTTCTGGATTCTCAGTTCTAGGTCTTTGATCTTCGTGCTGTCCTTATGGCAGTACCACACTGTTTTTGCCGTGGCTTTGTGGTGAATTTTGAAATCGGGAAGTATTGTTTCAAGATTGTTTGGGCTGTTTTGGGTACCTTGAGCTTCCATTTGCTTTTTGGAATCGGCTCGTGGGTTTCTACAAAGAAGCCAACTAGGGTTCTGATAGAGATGGCGTTGAATGTGTCAATCAGTGGAGGGCGTTGCCATCTTAATGTTGTCTTCCCAGCCATGAACATGGGATGCCTTTTCATTCCTTTAGATCCTCCTCCTAACACTGCTTTGTTCACTCAGAGTACTCTACACATTTCACGCTTCTCTTGATGCTATTGTAAATGGCATTGTTCTTTTTGTATTTGTTGCTTTTATATAGAAATAAAGTGGATTTATATGTATTGATTTTATGTACTGCATCCTTGCTGAACTCACTTTAGTTTGAACAGTTTTTCAGATCATGTCACCAGCACCATCACAGAGATCGTTTTACTTCTTCCTTACCAATCTTTTTTTTTTTTTTTTTTTTTTTTGAGACGGAGTCTTGCTGTATCACCAGGCTGGAGTGCAGTGGCACGATTTTGGCTCACTGCAACCTCTGCCTGCTGGGTTCAAGTGATCCTCCTGCCTCAGCCTCCCGAGTAACTGTGATTACAGGCACTCGCCACTGCACCCAGCTAATTTTTATATTTTTAGTAGAGACAGGGTTTCACCTTGTTGGCCGGGATGGTCTCCATCTGTTGACCTCATGATCTGCCCGTCTCGGCGTCCCAAAGTGCTGGGATTACAGGCGTGAGCCACCTCGCCCAGCCTTTTTTTTTCTTTTTTTGAGATGGAGTCTTGCTCTGTTGCCCAGGCTGGAGTACAGTGGCATCATCTCGACTCACTGCAACCTCTGCCTCCCTGGTTCAAGCAATTCTCCTGCCTCAGCCTCCTGAGTAGCTGGGATTAGAGGCACATGCCACAATGTCTGGCTAATTTTTTTGTGTTTTTAGTAGAGACAGGGTTTCACCATGTTGGCCAGGCTGGTCTTGAACTCCTGACCTCAAGTGATCTGCCCGCCTGGGCCTCCCAAAGTGCTGGGATTACAGGCGTGAGCCAGCGCGCCTGGCTTCCTTACCAATCTTGATTCTTTTTATTTGATGTTCTTACACTGACTGCTCCCTCCGGCACTCCGTTTAGCATGAGAGGTGAGAGTACACGTCACGCTCATGGTGTGAAGGAGAAAGCAGCCTGTGACCGTTGAGGGCGATGATAAGCGGATAAGTGTGGGTTTGTCCGAGACGCTCTTTGTCAGGTTGAGAAGCTCCCTTCTGTTCTGAGTTTGTTGGGTATTTTTCGTTATGAAGTGTATTGGGTTTTGTTGGATTGGGTATGTTCAGATGATCCTGTGTTTTGGTTTTTATTTTATTGACGTGATGTATTAATTAACTGACTTTTGGATGTTAAATCGACCTCGCCTCCCTGCGATGAATCTTACTTGGTCATGGCTTGCAATCTTCTTTAGATGTTGTAGGGTTCAGTTTGCTAGTATGTTGTTGAGGGTTTTTGTGTTTATGTTCATGAGAGATATCGTGACTTCTTGTGGTGGCTCACACCTGTCATCTCAGCACTTTGGGAGGCCGAAGCGGGTGGATCACGAGGTCAGGAGTTTGAGACCAGCCTGGGCAATGTGGTGAAACCCCGTCTCTAGTAAAAATACAGAAACTTGCTGGGCGTGGTGGCGGGCACCTGTAGTCCCAGCTACTCGGGAGGCTGAGACAGGAGAATCACTTGAACCCGGGAGGTGGAGGTTGCAGTGAGCTGAGATGGCGCCACTGCACGCCAGCCTGGGTGACAGAGCAAGGCTCTGTCTCAAAGAAAAAAAAAAGGAAGATATTGAACGTTGTGAAAATGGTAACTTATAATGGTTTTGTTTGCCTTTTTATAAAAATAATTTAGGTGATTTAAGTATAAACTATAAAATATACCCATTTTAAAGTTTATAATTCATTGATTTTTAGTGTATTCATGGCCCTGCAACCATCCCCTCTATCTAATTCTGAAACATTCCGTCATCCCCAGAAGAAGCCCCATCCCTGTTAGCAGTCACGCTCCCACTGGCTCTCTCCCTGGCTCCTTTCTGTCTGTGGATTGGCCTGTTCTGGATGTTTGGTATCAGTGGACCCTCTGCTGTGGCCGTTGGTGTCTGGCTTCACTCCCAGCGCATGCTGTTCTTGAGCTGCGTCCAGGTTGCCACATGGGTCCATGGGTCAGGACTGTGGCCTGTGTGAGGGCAGTTTTCAGTGTCACATGATGCAAATCCTGCCGTGGGCGAGAACGCCTCCACCCCATGCGTGGTCCTTGGTGGGAGGCGGGACGAGTGGCGGCCACACGCGTGTGCTGCCCTTAGTGCCCCCCAGCCCTCAGAGGTGGAGACGAAGCCGCTTCCCTGGGTCACCGGGGACTGGGCTCTGACCAGCGCTTGCTCTTGGCTGCCACACTGTGATGTCCAGCAGCAGGTTTTGGGCCGGCTGAGCTAACCCTGCCTCTCTTCCTTCGCAGGCCTCCTCACTGGGGAGGCAGAGTCCTCGCGTGGTCTCCTGCCTCGAGCACAGCCTGTGCCCCGGGGAGCCTGGCTTGCAGACAACAGCAGGTACCTTCCTTCCTCCTCCCCATGCTCAGGTCCGCCGAGGCCTTTGTGGCTGTGAGAGACAGAATACCTGCTGGGTCTGGCTGAGCTGTGGACCAGCACACTGGCTTCCAGAGTCCAGGGTGTCCCAGCTCCCACCCGTTCAGATGGAGCTGTGGGGCAGAGTGGTCAGGACTCCGTATTCCTGTTCTTTAGCAGGGGCAGGGAGCCCAGGCAGCACCCCCAGCGGAGGTCCCAGGCGCCAAGCTGAGGCTGCTTCATCTTGCCAGGGTGTCGGGAAGGGGCGGCTCGCTGAGGGAGCCGGGGCTGAGAAGGTGGAGGGCGGCGAGACAGGCAGCACCCCGGGTTCCTTGCACCTTCCTGCGCTGCTGCTTGCCCGGTGGGCATCAAGGTCCCATGCCCGCCTCCTGGCCACCTGTGTTGGGCCCATGGGGAGGAGGTGACGCTGTAGGGCAAGGGTCTCTGTGACTGTTCTTTCTTCCCCTGGCTGGGCTCCTTCTGCGGGCCAGATGTAGGGCTGCATCTCTTTCCGGTATCAAACTGGTCCCCACCCCAGTCCTCGAAGAAGGCAGCGCCGTCCCCGTGTTCCCTCACATGGCTTCTGCAAGGATGCGGTGGTCACTGAGGGTCTGGGCACAGCCGGGCAGCTCCAGATCATTCCCTCGCTCCAGCGAGGTGCCTGCCACCCAGGGTCCTCTGTGCCCCGCAGCTGCATGTTCTGTGCATGGGCTGTGTGTGGTGCGCACCTGTGTGCCCAGCCATGCAGGCTGTGTGGCTGCCCTAGAGGCCTCCTGCCCTGGGCTCCCAGGCCCTCAGCCTCCCAGCCTTGGGCTACACTGCACCCTGTCTGGATTGATTGAGCCCCAGCTATTTCCTTTGTTTGCTTAAAAATTTGCCTAATTGGAGACTAAACATGCTGAGGAATGGTGACACACCCCTGTTCTTTTGGGGCTGCCTGGATCTGATGACAGCGGCTGTCTTTTGGGCCGTGTACCTCGCATGTCTGCTGTACGTGGCCCTGACGGAGCATCAGGGACTGGCGTTGTTGAGGCCCCATTGGTGCTGTCCCTGCATGCTCCTTGATGCTGTACTGAGCTATGCAGGTGAGGGTTCAGCGTCCCCCCGTTTGAGGAGTCGTGGAGCCCGGTGTGAACCCAGCTCCACTGAGTCCTGCTGCTCCTTCCACCCTAATGAGACAGATGTTGGTCTCTTTCTAGTCCACTTGCTCCCCAAACCCTCGCAGGCTTCTCTGTTCAGGAAGACAAGCAGTCTCTCAGAAAGAGACACCCCCGCCCCTCAAAAAAATCCTTGGACTCTGTGTGCAGCTCACCAGCCGTGCTCCTGTGTGCATCCGTCGTGGGGTGTCCTGTTGGGTCCCCTCATGGGAGGCTGATCCTGGCAGCGTGCAGAGGGCCTCATCCCTCGGGCTCCTCCTACCCCAGGCGTCCGTAGTCTCGGCAGGATGGTTGGGACGGGTGAGGCGAGGTGCTCACGTGGGCTGCTGTCTTCTCCCCAGTGGTGTCCATGGGCTCTGGAGACCATCAGTTCAACCTCGCAGAGATCCTGTCACAGAACTACAGTGTTCGGGGAGAGTGCGAGGAGGCCTCGAGGTGCCCAGAGAAGCCCAAGGAGGAGCTGGAGAAGGACTTCATCTCCCAGGTACTTGGCCGAGGTGATCCCGCCCCTGTGTTGGGTGGAGCCCTCGGGGTAAGCCTCACAGTTTCTGTGCGGCTCAGATTCCACATTGGTAAGTGCTAAATTGTACATCTTTTTGCAAAGTGCCAGATGCTGTCCTAGGAGCTGAAATTCAGTGGAGACCAGGTCTTTCATGGGGCTGTCTGAGCAGTACAGTGGTCAGGGATTAAGCCAACTGCTCTCAAATCTTCTGGTCTCAGAACCCACTTTGTACTCTTAAAAATTATTGAGAGTTTCAGGCGGGGCGCGGTGGCTCACGCCTGTAATCCCAGCACTTTGGGAGGCTGAGGCGGACGGATCACGAGGGCGGGAGATCGAGACCATCCTGACCAACATGATGAAACCCCGACTCTACTAAAAATACAGAGAATTAGCCGGGCGTGGTCGGGGGGCATCTGTAGTCCCAGCTACTCGGGAGGC